TCTTTGTATTTGTTAGTCTCAAAAAATTACTTTTAAGATATTCAATCACAGTGCTAAAATAGTTTCCCAGAGGTTTCTGAATATAGTCCCTTTTTTTATTAAAAGTTTTAAAGATTTTATACAATATATATCCCAAATCCCTCCCACCCCTCCCCCCTCCCCCACTTCCCAGAGCTGATTACAGGGTTACAAATAAACGATCATAATCTAACTAATATTACCTAACTATACAAACAGTCAAATCCATAACATGCTTTAACTCCTTTTCAAAGTAAATATTAACAAATTAAATACGAAAATAATATAATTAAACCATAAAACTAAGAGTAATATAAATTCTACCATATTAAACTATTAGTAATAATCTGAAATTTACTCATAAACTAGATAATACTTTTTAGTCTCATATTTATTCTGAATATAATCTATCCATCTTCTCCAAACTGAAATATATCTTTCTTGTGAGTAGTCCTTCAAATAGCGGAAATTTTTGCCATTTCTGCTAAATTAGACACCTTGAGTATCCATTCTTCCATAGTAGGCAAAGAATCTTTCTTCCAATATTGCCCCACCAATAATCTTGCAGCTGTTATAAGATTCAACATCAAATTAATTTCTTTAACATCAAAATCTACAATAACACCTAACAAAAATAATTGTGGCGTAAACTTTATCTTTCTCTTAAAAATCTTTTGAATGTTCCACCAAATCTTAATCCAAAAAGCTTTTATATTTCTACACGTCCACCAAATATGAAAATAAGTTGCATCTAAGCTTCCACATCTCCAACATTTGGGCTGTAAATTAGGATACATACAGGATAGCTTTTGAGGATCCAAATGCCACCTATAAAACATTTTATAAAAATTTTCTCTTAAATTTTGAGCTTGAGTAAATTTTACATTTCTAACCCAAATTGTCTCCCATTTGTCCAATAGAATCGGCTCTTGAATATTTTGTGCCCATTTTACCATACAATCTTTAACTAACTCCGTTTCAGAATCTAATTCTATTAAAACATTATAAATTCTCTTTATATGGGCTCGAGTTTGATCTTTAATCCGTTATACCAAATTCACGTCATCTAAAGTAATACCAACCTTTTGATCTAAAATCCACCTGACTAGCAATTGATTATACTGAAACCAAGAGTGTACAATATTTTCTTGCTTCAACTCAGCTAAAGATTTTAATTGCCAATCCTTCCCTACCAACTAAGTAATTCTTTATAAGAAATCCTATCCATATTCACACCCCTAGATACCCTCTCTATCACGTGTCCAGGAATCTCCCAAATTGGAATTTTATAGTTTAACTTATAATAATACTTCTTCCAGACACGTAATAAAGAGGTTCTTAAAATATGGGATTTAAAAACCTGATCTACTTTTTTATTATAAATTAAATATGCATGCCATCCATATAATAAATCCCATCCTTCAAGAAGGAGTATATTTTTATATGTTAAGTTAAGCCAATTACTAATCAATGTTAAAGCCACCGCATCATAATACAATTTTAAATTAGGTGCCTTAAGTCCTCCTCTTTCCAATGCATCTTGTATAATCTTAAACTTAACTCTTGGTTTTTTCTCTGCCCAAATAAACTTGTTGATACCCTTCTGCCATTCTCCAGGTTGGCATAATATAGTCCCTTTTCATGTACTATTTGTTTTAATTCTTCCATAATTTGATATGCCTTTGCTATGTAAAACATAGATCATGGTTAAATAAAGCTGACATTTTTATTTATTTTGTTATGTATAATGTATAGGCCAGTGGTGGCAAACCTATGGCACGGGTGCCAGAGGCGGCACTTGGAGCCCTCTCTGTGGGCACACGTGCTGTTGCCCCAGTCTTGCCTACCCCTGTGACCCCATCTCTCCAGCAGCCCCCCTGAAGGAGAGTCGCCCCTGAGCATGGCCCACCCGGAGCAGTGCAGCCAAGGACATGGCAGCCAGGCAGCATAGACAAGACTCTGCCCTCACACCCCATTGTGCACAGTTGATGCTGCAGGGCGCGGGCAGAGGGCATGACCGCCATAGCGCTGCTGGGCTGCCTGGGCAATCTGCAGCGGGCCCTGGAGACGGTGAGTGGCCCTGCGGGCAGGCGGGATGGGGAATGGGGGGGTGGAGCGGGGGTGGGGCAGGGGTGGGGCCAGTTTTGGGGCGCTCGGTCTCTAAAAGGTTTGCCATCACTGCTTTAGGGCTTCGCCATGTGCCAAAAAAAAGGTTCAATAATCAATTTCAACTTCTCGCGGGGGAAAAAAGATCTTGCAAAGTTGGAATTGATTGATTGAACTTTTTAGTCCCAGTCTGCCATTACCACTGCAGCCACGCCCACCCAATGGACCATGCCCACCCAGTGGGCCACACCCACCCAATTGGCCACATCCACTCAATGAGCCACGCCCTCCCACCATCCGATGATACATAAGTGGGTTTGGGGTTGCAGTTTGGGCACTCTGTCTCTAAAAGATTCGCCATCACTGGTATAGGTTGCTCAACTCCCAATGACTGAACGGTTCTAATGCATAGCTGTCATTAGATTTTTGTAACATTACTTCTATAGGAAAAGATTTAGCAATTGAATTTGATGCAGAATGCAATGTTATGCCTTTATCTATTATTGCTAATGATAGCTATTTTAGATTAAGAAGCTGTCATATGGCTACCATATCTGGATTACAAAATTTCAGACAGCTATTGAGTGGAAGCAACATTTTCTATATCTTTATTGCCATCTAATCCAGATTGCAAAATCCAGGTTTTTGCAATCAAGATCTCTGATTATTCTCTGTAAACCAAGATAGGCTTACCTAATGCCTAAGGCTTGACCAACATCTTGGTCAAAACATCTTTTAATGTAACCTTAGTGTAAAACTTGGTTCTGCTGGTTGGCCTGGGGACCCAATGAGAGTACTCCATGCTGGAGATATCTGGTAGAATGATAAAGATTCCGTGCCATACCAATCACAGATAGATTTTTTTTCTTTGAGTTCTTTTATTTTAATGGTGGTATATTTATAATTTATGGTATGCTGCTCAGAGTTGCTTTGGAAAGGAAGATGGGTGGCATATACATTTAATAAATAAATAAAGTATGATAAATATTGTGATTTAAATTCTTTCCTAAATATTTAAATCCAACAATATCAGGTTTTAGAAAGTTAGGAATTTAAATACAGCTCGAGCTAGAATTTGCTCGAGAATTCCCTTTTTTTCAAACATCAACTCTAATACCTGTGACATCTGGGAGTGCAATGGATAGCAATGGGTTACTCTGAAGATATTTCTTGTCGAAAGGAAAGCTCATACTAAAACTAAAGGGTATTGAAACTAATTATGAACACAGACATCTGGCGGATGGAGAATCTCTGATATGCTGTATAGCAATTTGGATTATAAATTATTTTTAAAAGGTATTAAGCTTGTGAAATGTAAATGTATTGGTAAACAGCATGACAGGTTTTTGACCTAGACCTGATATGATGGTAGGAATGTGTGAATGTATCTAATTCTGACTTACTCAGGATGTTACTGCTATAAAAAGTTCTTTATTAGCTGTCTTGAAATTTTTGAAATAGCCTATAGTAAAAAATTAGAAAACAATGTTCCAAACTGAAACATCCAAAGAATAGAATGGCAGCCCAAAAAAAAAAAAAAAAATCAAACAAAATTGCAGTCCCAGAAAAAAAAGATGTACTTTGCATTCTAGTGTCTGATTATGTGCATGTTTTTGTTGTGTGTGGAATGTCCATCTCGGGGCTTTGGTGCAAAGCTGCTTTTTAAAAAAAGCCTTCGAAGATGGATTCCTGAGCAGATCTTTTGATGGACCAGCAGCTGGCACGAGGTGGGCAGGTAGCTGAGACAGGAGAGCTCTTGGCTGAGTCAGTAAGGAGCACTCTGCCTTGAACCTGGAAGCCTCAGGGCAGCCAGTTCTCCTGGAAGATCGTCGGCCACGTACCCGGCGCCTGAATGCAAGAAGCAAGAGCATTTCAGCACGGGATCAAGGGCAGTCCCACCCTCAGCTCCTTACAGTAGTCAAGCCCGAAGCTTAGGCGAGGGCGGCTGAACCTTCTTACCGTTTCCTTCTTCTCTTCCCCGGCTCCGTCGCCTAAACCTCTTTCCGGAGCCAAAAGGCGCAGCTGGAAGGGGACACCCACTCAGCTATCCACAGGCCTGATCCTGGCGGGAAAGCAGGAGAGAAAGGAAGGCGGCGGCACCTTCCCGAAGCCGAGCCGCAGCTCTTGGGCGCTGCATGGCTCCTGCCAGAGGAAGGGCGGGCGCGAGAAACAATGAGCCGGCGGGGTTACGCCGCAGCCTCATCTTTCTTTCCCGTTCCCGCCTTTCTGGCCGGTTGCTTCGCGTCCGCCCGACAGCCAAAGAGGCCGGGCTACCCTCAGGTAGGCAGGGGGTTCCCGCGCCTCCTCTTTAAGGGAAAGGCAGGGTCAGGCGCAGCCCAAGCCCTCCTCCTCCTCCTCCTCCTTCCAGGAGCCTCGCCGGCTCGCTCGGCGCTTAAACTTCAAAGCAGCCGAGAGCTCCGCGGCAGTCCTGAAATGCCGCCGCCCACCTCGCTTCGGAGGGCTTTGCACGAGCGCGCCAGGAAGGAGCAGGGGGCGAGGACAAGGGGGCCTTGGCGCCGCCGCCGCCGCCGCAGCAGCCCGGAGCTTCCTCCGGAGGACCGCGAGTGAAGCGGGACTGAAAGGCTGAGAAGGGAGGGGGGAGAGGGAAGCCCGAGGGAACCCCCTCGTCTGCTCCCCTTCACCCCGTAGCCCCGCACGCGCGCACCCCCCCCTCCATTGATCAATATTTGGTCATCTTGCTGCAACTTGCTGCAGTGTTTTAACCGGGTAGTAGAGGGAGAGGAACGAAGAGCCAGCGGGCGAGCAAGCGAGCGAGCGCGAAAGTCCGAGGCAGGCAGCGGGGCTCGTCAGGCCACTTAGCTCCCGATGTCCCCCGTGCTTTCGAAGAAGACGGCCGGGAGCATCCGCAAGCTGGCTCGGGCGGAGGAGGAGGAGGAGGAGGAGGATGCTGCGGCAGGTGATCCACAGAGGGCTCCGGTCGTTCTGCCATCAGCTGGGCTTGTTCGTCAGCCGGCACCCTGTCTTCTTCCTCACCGTGCCCGCAGTCCTGACCATCATCTTCGGCTTCAGTGTCCTCAACCGCTTCCAGCCTGAAATGGACCTGGAGCTCCTAGTGGCCCCGAGTCACAGCTTGGCCAAGATCGAGAGGAGCTTGGCCAACAGCCTTTTCCCCCTCGACCGCTCCAAAAGCCATCTCTATTCGGACTTGCACACTCCGGGGAGGTATGGCCGGGTGATCCTCCTCGCCAAGCCCGGGGGCAATATTTTGCACCAGGCTGAAGGGCTGCTGCAGATCCACCGAGCCGTGCTGGAAATGAAGGTGAACCACAAAGGCTATAATTATACTTTTTCCCATCTGTGTGTGTTGACAAATCAGGATAAGAAATGCGTGCTGGATGATATAATTTCAGTTCTAGAGGATCTGAGGCAGGCTGCCCTCTCCAATAAGACAACTGCCAGGGTGCAAGTGAGCTATCCCAACACTAAATTAAAGGTATGCTCTTAATTGCATGCTTTTGCCGATTAAAGAAACAGCACTTCATTTCTTGTCCTCAGCAGCAAAGAGAAGCATTGATATTGTATTTGTTGTTGTTGTTTAAACGATAAGAGACAGCAAGGGCAGGATTTTAACTGGGGATTCTGTGGGAGAGAAGGGGGATTGGAAGGGGAAAATGGAGCAGTTCAGAAGTCCTCAGTTCAAGCAAGAGCAGCAGGCTGTGCTAGGAGTGCAGAAGTTGTGTAGAAAAATGCAACCTCTTGCTCCCAGCTCAAACTGTTTTCTTTGGCACTGGAGCATCTTTAGCATAGACTGGAAGGGAGACTTTTGACAGGTGCCGGATAGCAAGCCGATCCTATGTAATGAGTTAATTGCAGTGATTCTGGGAGCTCCCTGCTCAAGGCTGAGGAGCAAGTCCAGAGTGAGAATTAGGAGAGTCTTACAATGGCGCTGAAACTTGGATTGGGCCACCAGTGCAGCCTAGTTGGAGGAAAGCAAAATAAAGAGGGTGAAATTAATTCTGTCCAGTTAGCAAGTTAGTTGATGTTATTTCTTTTAATATTAAAAAAAATGCTTCATGGCTATTTCCTCCTGGCGCAGTAGAATTTCTCTGGAGTGGATTGCCTCCTGAAAGACATTTCAAAGGCCGATACATTGCGCAGCAAACAGAATTTCGGTATAACCCAAGATGTTGACTATTGTTAGATGCTTTATCATCAATATTGGTGATGTAGTGTTGTGGCCTTACCTTGATTACTAGTAAAGAATGAAAACTTTTAATCATCTTCAATATTGATAATGTGTGTCCTAATTTACAAATAATTTAGGTAACAGCACAATCATTGATTGTATCAAAACCCCAAAAATATAATTTTCTACCACTACAGTTTTAGTTTTATCTACAGCTCAAACTTTGTTTTCTTGTGTGTTTTATGGCAGTCCTCTCTTAAGACTAGTGAAGATCTTAATCCACTAGTTGAAGATCAGACATGTCTCTGGAATCTCTGGCCATTTGATGAGCACAGCCCAATGAAAATTGGTTCTATTGCATTGACATTAATGACACTATTTGGTCATAGATGTTCTGATCTTATTCATATTTTCCTTGGATATAAACATCATTAAACTTGCCTTGGATTTACTTCCAAGTAATGCGTATAGGATTGTGCAGTGTAACTCTCTCCACTATTGCCCTTGGGAATTCTCAGTATTGACCTTGTCTGGACAATGCCATTTCATTTACTATTTTTTCCAAGTAGAAAATTGTCTTATGGTAGGAAATAAAGTTCACTCAGGAAGTGGATACGTATTGTAAATAGTAGGAAAGTGTCACATTTTAGTTGTGGCAATATTTGTGCATTTTATTTCACATAAATTAGTTCCATTGAGAGGAACAATTAACATGTGAATTGGCTTTTGCTCTTTATGCTAAAATTGAGGATTCTAGAATATTATATACTTATTTCTAACTGTTAATTACTCTTTGCTAAGCAGAAAAATGTTAACTTAAAAGCTAATAGATAACTACTGCAGTTGTTTTTTTATCATTGGGGAATCTTTTTTTTTTTTTTGCAGATCATAGTTATAAAATGGTCAGGGCTCATGATCCCTCATGGTCCCTCATGATCCCTCTGAGGGCTTTGGTAAAAGTTTAACCGATGTTGGTGTCATCTCTGATGAAGTCTAGGAGTTTGGATTACAGACATTACTTGAGCAGTTAACCCACACGATCACAAGCATCCATTCTGGCTGGATAACACAGATACCTTGTTCTTCCAGCAAACTGTGTCACTGAAGAATAGTGACATTTGGTGAAATGTGGCCTCACAGAAATGCTTTGGTGCCTAATCTATAGTAATGATAGCAAATCAGTATCTCAGTTACCATTGGATCCTTAGAGAATCATCCATGTCCGTTTGGCAAATAGGAAGAAGTTTAAGAACTTTCAGAAGCACATTAAATATTTGTAAAACATCTAGAACATTAAATCACGACTCTTTTACACGAAATAGAAAGACAGCAATAGAAATAGAATCTTTGAAATGAAACCATTAGGGTTGCAAATAATTCTTGCCCATAAGTGTGGACAAGAAACTTTGAAATATTTGGATTATCCCACCACACACACCATTATCCTTGTAATAGTTAGAAGTATCCCGTTGGGTAGAGGTACTGTACATTGTTTGTTATGAGAGAGGGGAATTCTGAGTGACTGGAAAAGGGATTGTGAAACTAGAAATAAGACTTTACTTGTAGATTGGAATAAGCAATAGTTACAAGCAGTGCTTTTTTTGTTTAAAAAAAAAAAAGGTGCTGGAACTCACACACTTCATACAACCCGTCTTGCCTACCCTACAAGGTTCCATCCAAAAAAGGTGTCGGAACTCCGTTCTGGGCGTTCTATGAGAAAAAAAGCCCTGGTTACAAGCAATTATCCATACTTGGAACTGAGTAATGGCTGAACTATGATAGGCTTTCTTTCTTTTTTTCTGGGTAGGCGGGTATTCTTTCAAAGACATTCTCAGAAATAAAGACTATACTGGAGAGCTGCTCTGTGTTATACAGCATGCCAACTTCTCATTTTAAAATTAAATAGATTTTTAAAAATCAGACAGGGTTAAGAGCCTTCTGAGCCCCAAGAAACATTGGCACTTTGGAGCATCATGTTATAGATTGTAGAACCAAGGTATTTTTCTCACTTGATTCTTTAAATTGAGAAAAGCAAAGCATGATGCTCTGATGTTTCTGTTTCTACTTAATCGCCTGATTCCACAAGTTAATGTTATACTTGTGTTTTGATCAGTTTTGGATCTATACCTAATAAGTAACAGAATAACAGAGTTGGAAGGAATTTTGGAGGTCTTCTAGGCAACTCCTTGCTCAAGCATGAGATCCTATATCATTTTAATCACTTAGTCATTTTAATCGAATGGTTGTCCAATCTCTTCTTAAAAGCCTCCAGTGAGGGAGCACCCACAACCCATTTTACAGATAGACTGATTGTTCTCACTGTCAGGAAATTTCTCCTTAATTCTAAGTTGGGTCTTTCCTTGATAAGTTTCTATGTTACTTCTTGTCCTGCTTTCAGGTGCTTTGGACAAGAAGTCTAAAGCACCTGAAGATTATGTATTCCCTGCTCTCACTAACTGGTCTATTTAGGTAGGGAGATTGTTTATATATGGAGGTTATAGACTCCTAAATGATTGGATTCATACTTTGGATGCTTTTGGAAAATGTTATTAGAAACTTAGGTAGCTTTTTTGAAATAGAGCTGATATGCAGTTGTGGCTTTTCCTGAACAGAAATGCCCTGGACAATTGATGACATTTAGGATTACTGCTATAATAGCTACATGTATTTATAACTATATAGCAATTGCCTCTCAAAAGCATATTAAATAGAGTTATATTATAAATTTTCTATGTTATATGTCTTTGAAGAGTGATTGAAAGCTTGGTTTCAGTTGAAACACAACCACTAGGTGGAAACATTTTACTCCAATTCTGCAAGAGCTGTGTCTGTTCTCAGAGACTCAGTTTGTACATCATACTTAACTAGAGTCACTTGTTGAAATGGGCGGCTATAGAAATCAAATAAACAGAATAAATAGTTTTAACTATGTTTTGATAAAATCACTGTTGGCTGTTTACATCATATACTAAGCCATAGTTTGTTTGCTTCTGATTTACATATTGTGTGAATTCAGGCACAGTGTTGTAATTATAAAGCTTAAGAGTGCTTGAGATCTAGTTATCTTTATAATTATAACATTGTGTCTGAATTCACACAATACGTAAATCAGAAACCATGGCTTAGTATGTGATGCAGATTCAGCCAACAGTGGTTTTATCAAAACATGGTTAAATTATTTTGTCTATTTGATTTATTTATTTGATTTCTATCTCAACAAATGATTCTAGCTAAGTATGATGTACAACCCCACCCCCCATATCTCCAGCATGCTGCAATCATTGGTGGAAGATCCCTTTCAGATGTTCCTGGCAAGGTACATGATATATGTCAGTGATGGCGAACCTTTTAGAGACCGAGTGCCCAAACTGCAACCCAAAACCCACTTATGTATCGTCGGGTGCCGGGTGGGCATGGCCCAGTGGGTGGGTGTGGCCCATTGGATGAGTGTGGCCCATTAGGTGGGCGTGGCCCATTGGGTGGGCATGCCTGCGGTGGTAATAGCAAATTGGATGGGACTAAAAAGTTCAATCAATCAATTCCAACTTTGCAAGATCTTTTTTTTCCCTGCAAGAAGTTGAAATTGATTGATTGATTGAGCCTTTTTTTTTTGCACACAGCGGTGAGGCCTAAAGCGAAAAGTTTTTATAAAACCCAGCTGAAAGCCTAGGACTGGGGCAACGGTGCACGTGCCCACAGAGAGGGCTCTGCATGCCACCTGTGGCACCCGTGCCATAGGTTCGCCACCACGGATATATGTGGTGAATGGAAGTGAAATGTTTTCATTAATGCTGACATTTCATATATGCGAAATTCTCACAGAATTTTCGCTCATATTTTGGGCATATTTTGGGGGGGTTCTCTCCAGTTTTATCACTTCTGAGTTTTAAATTGAAATCTGCTACTAAAATTCTAGTCATAAAGTACAGTATTGTGGAAACTGGATAAAGAATGATATATGTGTGTAGAATGAGTAAATAAATGAAACACATACCCTGTCCCCCAGTAATCGCAGGCAATTGTGCTCTGAGTGTCTCAGCTATACTCTTTACATGGCTAAGTAGAGTGTGAGCTTTCAGAATGGCTGTACTTTCTTATACTATTGAAAATAATAGTATATTAGTATGTTATTTTCAATAGCTTTAAATTCTAAGGTAATATGCTCTATGAGGTTTGGATAATATATACATTTTACCAGAGATATGTTCATTTAACAGATCAAGGACCATATTATCATTTTAGTCAGTGAAATAATCATTTTATCTATTCTACCTGTATTTCTTAAGGAAACAACTCTATTTCAAAAT